CCCCCCAGCACCCCTCCCTTCTCGGGGAGCCCCTGCTCAGAGTCAGCAGACGCAGTAAGAAGGCATGGGGTCAGGAAGCAGGGCTGGGAGACTAGGGGTATGAGGGTGTTTGCTGAGCTTGGGCAGGGGCTGGGGGACTAGGGGTGTGAGGGGTGTTTGCTGAGCTTGGGCAGGGGCTGGGAGAGGGTGGACAGGGGCTGCACTAACCACCCTGTCATCACTCTCTTACCCCAATCAGGCACTCTGTGGAGCCCCAAGCTCCCTCTTCCCTCCCACAGCCAGCTGGCCCCCTCCCCATCCTGATCCCCTCCAGTCCCCCCAGCCCCTCCAGCCCCCAGGCCTCTTCCCTCTCTGGTCCCAGCCCAGAGTCCAGTCGTCTGTCCAGCTCTTCACTGTCATCCCTGGGGGAGGATCAGGACAGTGTGCTGACTCCTGAGGAGGTGGCCCTGTGCCTGGAGCTCAGTGAGGGTGAAGAGACCCCCAGGTGAGTTGCCTGAGGGATGACCAAAGGACTACAGATAAGCACCGGACAGGAGTATGCTTATCTCTCCCCGGCCCCGCCCTTCCTCCACGGGAATGTTTCTGCTGCCAGCCTACCCACGTCAGCCTTAGTCCTGTCTCCCGTTTTGTCTCTCTTCTAGGAATAGCGTCTCTCCTATGCCAAGGGCCCCTTCACCCCCTGTCACCTACGGCTACATCAGCATCCCAACAACCTCAGAGCTAGCGGACGTGGGCAGGGCTGGAGGAGGGGTGGGGTCCGAAGTGAGGGGCTTGCTGTGCCCACCCCGGCCCTGCCCCACCCCCACCCCCAGTGAGGGCTCCTTGGCCAACGGCTGGGGCTCCGCCTCTGAGGACAACGCCCCCAGTGCCAGAGCCAGCCTCGTCAGCTCCTCTGACGGCTCCTTCCTCGCTGATGCCCACTTCGCCCGGGCCCTGGCCATGGCCGTGGACAGCTTTGGCTTTGGTCTGGAGCCCAGGGAGGCGGACTGCGTCTTCACGGGTATGTGAGATCACCTGCCTCACGTCTCACTTCCACCCCTTGGAATAGACACAGCTCCTGGAAGAACCCCTCCCTGCCTTTTCCCCAGCCAAGAGGCAAGGCTTCCTAACCATTGTCTTTGTGGTAATCCTTAAAACAGCTAGCTTTTACTGAATGATTACTCTGCCCCCAGCCCTATATATACATTCGATATTAACAACTCTATGAGGAATATTCTTTATCTTTCTTTACCAAATGAGGAAACTGTAAATCAAACAGGTTTTTTAACTTGCCCAAGGTCACCCACAAGAACAAGGATAAATGTTCATGTCTAAAGCCCAGAGGCAGCCAACTGTAGGCCCCTTGCCCTCCTCCAGATTCCTCCTCTGAACCCAGACACTGGTTTCTAGGAAAGATTGCTCCCCACCTCTTCTATTTACTCTAACCCACTGTTTTAGATTCTCCTCACTAGGGGAAGGTCTATTTCCTCTCTTACCTCCTGCTATGCTTACAAGCCGTCCCCTTGCCCTGTCTGTGGCTGGGGTGAGAAGCTGGGCTCACCCCTCCACCTGTCGAGCAGAGTGGGACCATTATATCCATGTCAACAGACAGTAGCTCGGGGCTCCCTGTTCCCCTTCCTTTTTTTTTTTTTTAAGATTTTATTTATTTATTTGATGAGAGAGAGAGCACAAGCAGGGGGAGTGGCAGAGGCAGAGGGAGAAGCAGGCTCCCCGCTGAGCAAGGAGCCTGATGCGGGGCTTGATCCCAGGACCCCGGGATCATGACCTGAGCCAAAGGCAGACACTTAACTGACTGAGCCACCCAGGCGCCCCCACTTCCTCATATACTCTGTCAGACCCCCTCTCCCCATCTTATGAACCCTAACTCTACCCTTTGCCTCCAAGAAAAACAACCAGGCTTGTAAATGGGAAAGCAAGGATTATCCAGGACAGAAGTGCCCATAACGGAGGGAGAAGGATGCCCAGGGAGGGGGAGTGCAGTGAAGGGTGAGAGTATGGATAGAAGGCCAGAGCTGGGCTAGGAGGAAACAGCTCAAGCTATTCTCTCTAAAGAAACCAATGGACTCATTCCAATGGCTGCCAGAATTGATGGGCTGAGTTGGGGCTAAGTTATCTTTCGGGTTGGGTGTGTGCTTTAAGCAGGTCCTAAGCATTCTGCCCTAAACTGGTCCCTCAGAGTGAAGGTCAGCCCTCTACAAATAACTCTACCCTCCCTGACAGATGCCTCCTCACCTCCCTCCCCCCGGGATGACCTCTTTCTGACCTCTGCCCTCTCCCTGCCCCTGTGGGAGTGGAGGTCAGACTGGCTGGAGGACATGGAGGACCACCACAGCCAGCGGCTGGGAAGGGGGCTCCCCCCCTGGCCCCCCGACTCTCGGATCTCTTCCCGAAGAAGTCAGCTCGGCCGTCCTGAGCCCAAGGCTGGCAGTAAGTGTCTGTCTTCCGAGCTGACATGGTGACCCTGGCTGAGGGATTCTGGGGAGGAGCCAGGAGGAGCCCTGGGGTTGGGCAGGAGAGGGGGAGCAGCGGGGTAACTCCACTCTCCTTCGATTTCCCCTGCAGACTCCTCATGAAGTGTGCCCAAGACTGCCAAGAAGAGAATCAAACCACTCCCCTGTGGAGTGTCAGTCTTGGCCTGCACTTCTCTGCAGCTGGGGGACCACCTTGCCCGGACTCCCGGAGAGCTCTCGTCCTTCCGGGATTGTGAAAACAGATGAAAGCGCAACAAAATAAGCACAAAGTAGACCTGGAGCCCTCAGGGAGCAAAAAGCCATCCCGGCCTGACTCCTCGCCCTTGCTTTCTCCTCCTTCCATCCATCCCACAGCCAGGTCTTCTGGCCTGAGAAGCAGCCTTATCTCCCAATCTCCCCACCCGCTTGGATCACGGGAAGTGAGGGAGCCAGAGGTCTTCCCAGAGGACAGCAACAGCTTGTGGGACAGGCGGTAAGGGAAGGAGCTTTACAGAGCCACCCCTCTCGGGAGGGGACCATTCATTCCCACAGGGGCAGGCTCACCTCTCCGCAGCCACACCCGGGAGAGGAAGAAAGGAGGACCCACCGACCAGCCCTGAAGCGGTGAGGCCCTTCCTTGCTACCAAGGCAGAGGGGCCAGCATGGATCCAGGGAGGGAGCTGTGAAGGAAGGGAGGTGGCAAAATGGAGGACAAAACCCCCTCCTCATACTGTGGACTCTATGAGCTTAAGAAATTGATACCATAAAACTGTCATGACTTGAGTGCAGTGAGGTCATTCCCCAGAGCACCATTTTGGGGAGGGTACCCGGAGATATGGGAAGAATTCTGAGTTCCAAAGGGTTCAGGCACTCGTTGGCACTCAGGGAGAGTCACTTAGTTCTGTTCTGTGATTGAGAGAAGAATTACACGCGTCCTTCGGATTCTTCTGGTCGGCTGGTCTTCGCAACTTGTCCTAGGAAAACAACTCCTGCTTTCAGCGGTCCCAGCCCCCCTCCCCAGAGACTAGTCCCAGATGGTTAAGACCAGAGGGTTTCTTAAAATAGACGAAGTAGCTTAATTCCCCAAAAGGTAGAACCACCTGTAATGGTTGGCTAGTGAACACCCTTCAGACAAAACAACAGAACAGAGAAATGGAGCCGGACTGCCAGGGTCAGAGCCACAGAAAGTTCCGGAAGGGCCCTGTCCTTCTAACATGGCGGGAAAGGCAAGGGCAGAACACACAAGTTGGGGGCAACGGTGCTCCTGAGCAGGACCAGGGGCCACAGGAGGATGTCTTTAGGGAGGGCCGATTAGGAAGCAGGCCCTGAAAGGGGGTGATACCCCCCCAAACCTAAGCCACTCTACCTAGAGGCCACTCTGAACTCACAGGCCGAGTGAGGCAGGGCTGGGGGACACGGTGCTGCCTGAACTACCAGTCTGGGCTGGAGTGTCTAAGTCTCAGGATGAGAAATCAGTGCTCCAGATACATATCTGTTCCTCTCTATTTGCTTTTCCTTTTTTGGATTTTGTTTTACTTTTAGCTTCCTGGTAAAATTCCTTTTGAAAACATTCCAACCCTGTTTGCCAGACCAATGGAGAAAAAGGGATTTGTGCACACTTAGGTCACAGTGGCAGGAGAGGTCAGAGCCTGGGCTTGGGGGTGGGGGTGGGGGGCAGTGGCGGTCCCCTGAGAGCCCAGGGCAGTTACTGAGCCTGGGGGTGAAGAAGTCAGAAGGAAACAAAGCTCAGAAAACCATTCGGTGGCATGGGCTGTGGGGGACGGAGCAGTGCACATTCAGGGCCAAAATTTCAAAAAATTCTATGCCAGCCAAACCAATCACATCCGGGCCTAGCCCTGGCCAAGAGGTATTCCTGTGCACACACCCTCTGTGAGGGGGTCAGGGAATCTGAAAAAAGCCTGTTTTTCCTTTTTGGCTGGTGTTTCCCCCATCAACCTCATTCCTCAAGTTTTATTTTGTTTATTTTAAGAAATTGTTTACAGACTTTTTAAATTTATTTTAAAGAGAGAGTGGTAGGGTGGGGGGAAGGGCTGGAGGGGGCAGAGGGAGGGGGAGAGGGAGAGGGACAAGCAGACTCTGTGCTGAGCATGGAGCCTGATGAGGGGCTCCATCTCACAACCCTAAGATCTTGACCTGAGCCGAACTCAAGAGTCAGATGCTTAACGGCCTGAGCCACCCAGGTGCCCTGTTTGAATTTAAAAAAAAATTATTATTGTGAGGGGCATATTTCCTTACAGGAGAGTAGATAGACCCTGGAGGAGGGCACCTAGGGAGGGCCTGGCTTGGTTGTCTGAAGATGGACAAGTTTCTCATTGTTGGTTATTTGGAAAGTCCCTCTGATTTTAACTGGGGAGTGGGCTTTAGCTCCTTCAAGAGGCAGGACAGGACCCTGTCCTCGTCTAATGCTTTTGATGGAAGTTCAAAAGGAAGTGGAGGCTTCTCTAAGTGCCTTGATCTACACTCTTTTGCAGCCCCTTTCTTTCCCACATCCTGCATAAAACCAGACAAGCAGGGTCCAGGGCTCCCATTGACTCTTTTTAAACTTTTTTTTTTTTAATTTTATTTATTTATTTGACAGAGAGAGACACAGTGAGAGAGGGAACACAAGCAGGGGGAGTGGGAGAGGGAGAAGCAGGCTTCCTGCCAAGCAGGGAGCCCGATGTGGGGCTGAATCCCAGGACCCTGGGATCATGACCTGAGCCGAAGGCAGACGCTTAACGACTGAGCCACCCAGGCACCCATCAGACTCTTTTTATTGTCTCTTTTACAAATGAGGTTCAGGTGGAAAGAGATAGAAAGGGAAGAGCTCGCTCTCTGGCTTCTGAGCGTCACTGCCAGGAGGGACGAGACCAGCCCCCTCCCCTGCTCCTCTCTGCTCACCCCCATTAACCAGGAGGAGGGGTTCCCATCCAGAGCTCCCAGCCCCGGGACAAGCCCTTCCCCATGGAATTCCTGATATCCTCCTCAAGGGTCATCTTGGTTCCTAGAGAGAGAAAGAGGCTGGTTTGCAAGGTCCCAGGCCGGGGCAAGCAGGCCATAGGAGGCGCCATGCCTCTTCTCTTCCTCAGCCCTTCTCCTGAACCCACTCTCCTCTGGGGAGCCCAGGCTCCTCTATGTATGACCTTGTCTTCACCCTTTGTCACCTGTTCTCCAGGATTCCTCCCTCCCCCCTCACTCCCTGGGTCCCCTCCTTTTGCTCAGAGCTCAGAAAGCCTTTCTCTCCCTCCTGTTTTCAGCGCTCCTTGGCTCAGCCCTCCTAGCTTTCTACTCCCCTTGTTTGCATGCCCTAGCCCCCACCTCTCCACGTTTCTGTCCTGGCCTTTGGCTCTGGCTCCGGCTCCGGCTCCGGCTCCTTGCAGGGCCCCGGGAGCCTCGAGAGCTGCTGGAGCCTCTGGAAGAGTTGCTGCCCGCTGTGGAGCAGGTGCTGGCGGCCTGGCTCCGGGATAGGAAGCTTGGTCGGCTGTAGGGGGGCAAGGTCTCCTCTGCAGCACAACAGAGAAGGGCAACCAGGCAGAGAACAGAACGTCACCGTTTGCCCAGTGGGCCACCTCGGCCTCAATCCCAGCTTTAGAGGAAGAGTTGAGGGCAGGCACGGGGCTTGGGCCATCCTCGGGGCTGAGGGAAAACAGAATGACCCAGCACATGGCCTTGACATAACAGGTGCTCCGAAACCCACCGGGAACTCCCAGACAGAAAGAGCCCTGGGAAAGGAGAGACAGAACACCCAGCCCCACTCTTCTCTCATCTGGGCTTCAGTCCTGGGAAATTCTACAACTGGGGAACTTCAGGGGATTTTTCCCAGAGAGAGCTACAGAGACAAGTGTAGGTTTGGATCAAATGCATGAACCCAACTGAGGGGGAGATGTGAGCTGGGTTGAAAACTTCAGAGTCCTTCGATGGCACGGTCTATACTATACTATCAGCCTCCAGTGCCACCTTCTTGTGTGGCAGTGAGCCTCTGGCCTGCCCTGGCCCTCCTTACCATCCAGGTGGGGACCCCGCTGGGCCCCCAGGGGCCCAGCCTGCACCATTCTCCTCTCCCCACCGCGTTCCCGCTCCCGTTCCAAGGAGGACATGCTGCCTACTGCTCTCAGCCCTAAGGCCCAGCTCGTCTCTTCCTCTGGTGGCGGCAAGGGTGGTGGGGGCAAGTCTGGGGAGAGACCTGTTTTCAGCAGAGTCTCCCACCCCTCCTGATCCCGATCTTTCTCCCGATCCTACTCCCCGGCACCAGGAGGCTGTGACTGAACGGCCCAAGATTTGGGTTCACCTGCTCCCTTCTCCAGCCCCCAGAGCTCACCCTTGGTTTCCTGCCTATTCCCCCCACTGTCACCATCTCTCATGGCCCAGGGCACCCTCACCGCCAGGACTGTGCTCCCGACGGTAGGGAACAGCCTTGGGTTTCCGGATTCGGGCGCGGGGCCCTTGAAGTGGAGGAGCCATCTCCCCAGGCACCTGCCAGGTTCTCCCTGTCCCATCAGCAGACGGGGAGAAGAGTGGGTAAGAGAGAGGATCAGGCAAGGGGCTCGAGGGTGAAGAGGAAACAAGGCTGGGGGGGCGGTATGGGGAGGTAGGGGCAGGCTGAGCGTTCTGCAGACTCACCGGGGGCACTGCCGGCAGCACTGGGGACAGGGCTGGGGCCAGCACCCGGGCCAGCAGGCCTCCCTTCGTGGCTACTCAGAGTGGGCTGGGACACACTGAGAGGGGAACTTGGCCCAAGGGGCACCCTCCTGCAATGACATGAGGCCTCAGCGTGTGTTCACTCAAGAAACTCTAAGTGCCCACTATGTGCCAGGCCCCGTGCTAGGTACTCTGATGAATAAGGCACAGGCTGTCCCCCAAGGGCTCCCAGGCTAGTGAAGTATGAAGAGAGCCATGTTTTTGAAATGCCCCGAGAAGCTTGTAGAGCCACTCCAATGGAGAAACAGTCTGAAGAGAGTGAGAGACCTTGTCCGCCATCACGTTCCTTCCGGAATCACACTTCCACTCTGACACGATCATGAGACCTTCTGTACCCCAGATCCATCCATCCATCCATCCATCCATCCATCCAACCATCCGCAGAATAGATATGCACCCAGGGCCTATAATGTGCAAGGCACTATATACCTCCCTACCTGGGCATCTGGTGGAGATGGGGAATGTCAGTGGGGGGCTGGGGAGGGTCAGGAGGTGAGGGGGTAAGAGTGGCTGTGGACTGCTGTCCATAGGAAGATGTGGGAGAGGGGGCTTCCCCTTGGGATGGAGGGACCAAGCAGCCTCCCCTGGAGCTGGGCTCAGCCAGATGGCTCCTCTCAGGCATTGGTGGGCACCACTCTTCTGGCTCGGAGCTGGGGACAAAGAGGAAGGAGAGTAGCCATGACTGAGCAGCTTCCACTTAGCCTTCTGGTTGCCCTCTCCCCTCCTCTCCCAGCACCTCTGCCCTCCCGCTACTAGTCCCATCTGTTTAGGGCATCTGCAGCAGGGCACATCCTTACCCGCCCTCCAGGTCCTCCTCCGGCCCCTCTAGGCAGCTCAGTTCACAGGAAGGGGGAGGTGGGGGCAGGGCTTCTGGCCAGTTGAGAGAGGGCATCTGAACAGGTTTTCCCAGAAGCTTTACTTTGCCTCCCCTGGCTCCTGAGAAGGGTGGGACGGGGACACACGGAGATAAGAGGCAGATGAGAAATGTCAGAAGCAAGTGCTGGGCTGGGCCCCAGAGGGGAAGGGTAGAGGATATTCTTTGGGGATACTCTGCTCAGAGCTAAAATGGGGGTGTTAGGGACTAAGTCATACCACTGTCCCCCTGGCTCCATTCTGGAGGAGCATACTGGCTCCAGGTGCCTGGATCCCCTGAGGGATTTGGGGGGAAACCCCCATGGAAGGTCTGCAGCTCCTCCCCAGCTGGGTCAATGGTGCTGTAGACAGGACCCTCGGTAGGGGCGGCAGTGCCCCGGGCGGTCTGAGCCAGGTACAGGGAGATCCCTGCTTCTGAGGAGGAGAAAGAGGGAGGCCAGGGGGGGAGGCAAGGGGCAGGGAGCAGAGACAGAGAAATAGCGGACAACAGGAGAATGGAGGGCAAGAGGAGATCCCACCGGATCAACTTCTTCCCCCACCCAAACCTTACTTCCCAAACCAGGGTAAAGGTTAGGCATGAGAGAAGCTCCCCCAACTCATATCCTCCCCAAGGACTGACCAACCTCAGGAAGACTGACAATCCTCGGCTCCCTTCAGTTTGCCCCCGGAGGTGGAGAGGAGAGAAGGGTGTTGGGGGCCAGGTGTGCCCCTGAGGGAATTAGAACTCCTCACCATTGTAATATCTGTCGTCTGGGTCAGGATTGCTGGGGCAGCAGCTCCCCCTGGGCTCCTGGGCTGAGGGGCTTCGAGATGGGTGGGGCCACGAGTCTGCTAGCCAAGGGTAGGGGGCGGGGCCAAGGCCCATGGGTGGCCTGAGGGAAAGCACGTGAACGCTGGGGACCCAGAGCCTGAACAGGCCAGCGAATTTAAGGGTAAACAGGAATTGTAGGACAGTAATGGTGAATTTGGGGGTGGCAGGTGGGAGACAGTCAGTGGCAGTGAGGCCTGGGGAGGAAGGAGAATGGTCTCTTGATGGGGGGGATTATCCTTGGGAGATAGATTAAGAGGATTACCTGGAACTGGCTCCAGAGAGGCCCTCTGAGTGTGGGAAGGACACTGGGAAGATGAAGGGGAGACTGAGTGAGAGAAGGGCCCATACTTGGGGTCTGAACCCCACTGGAGCAGAGAGAGCTTACCTGCAGGTGTGTAGGCAAAGGAGGCTTCCAAAAAGGAATCCATGGGAGAAAGAAGAGGGTAAATGGAGAAAGGGTCAGAAATACCCACATTCTTGTCCCCTTCTTGGCCGCGGTCCCAATTGCACCACTCAGCCCGTACCCTGGACCGATTTCATCAGAATTTCTAGGAGTGGGACTCAAGCATCAGTATTTTTCTAAAAGTTCCCCATGTGTAGCCAAGGTTGGGAACCCCTGATCTAAGAGACCTCAGAATCTCTCCAGACACGCCCCTCACCAGGGAGTAGCAGAAATCTAGTCGGCTCTTTTCAGCGGGCCCCGCCTTTCCACCCAGACCCCGCCTCACAAGTTAACGCCCCGGACCCTGACCACGCTCCCTCCTGCCAGGCCCCGCCCCCTCCAGAATTGCCCCTTCTATACTGAGACTGACTAAGCCCGCTCTCCCCTCGAGGCATCTTAGGGGAAGATTTTACCCGTCTCCCCAGACTCAGGTCCCGCCCCTCCGGGCCCCGCCAGTTGCCCCCAGTCCCGTCCGCTCCCTGCCCGACGGTGCCCACCGCGCGTCCCTCTTGAAGGAGCGATGCTCGGGGAGGGAGGTGGGGGAGTGGGGGAGTTGGGGGCACCACCCCTCCCTTCTGACCCCGCCCCCACCCTCCGAGCGGTGAGGCCCTCCCGTCCCGCTCGCCGTCCGGCCCGCCTCCCTCCCCGAGGGGCGGGATCTCCAGGCTCCGCCCACTCCGAGGCCCTCCCTTCCGTCTCCCCAAGGCCCAAGTGCGCCGGTCAGCCGCGCCGCCCCTCAGGCCCCGCTCACCCGTGTAGTGGCTGAGCTCCTTGCGCTGCCTCCGGCGCCGGTAGAGGACGGCGCAGAGCCCGAGCAGCAGCGCCCCGCAGGCGGCGCCACTGCCCGCGAGGAAGGCCGGCTCCCGCAGCACCCTCGCCAGCCGCTCCGCCAGCCCCGGGCCCACCTCGAGCCCAGGCTCCGATGGCGGCGGGGAAGCTGTGGGGGTCAGAGAGGTGAGGGGACCAGGGGCCTGGAAACCCGGCAGCGAGGAAGAGGGGCCATCCCTGACCCCGTAGGCACCCCCACTCCAGGACCCACCCCCTCCAATTCCCCAGCCCCGCCCGCCCACCCCGCCTCCGGACTCACGCAGCTGCACCGACACCGGGACACTGGCCACGCCCACTCCAGCGCTGGTGGCCGCCGCGACCTGGGTCCGGTAGAGAAGACCGGGCAGCAGTCCCCGGAGCACCGCGGAGCGTGCCCAGCCTGCCGCGGACCGGTTGAGGTGGAAGCGGCTCTCATTGCCCAGGCACCAGATCTGGGGAGGCCGAGACCCGGGTTTAGAGAGTCTGAAATGGGATCCTGGCCTCACGTGGAAACTCGAAGCTCTGAACAGTAGAGGGGGCTTAGCCAGGGATCATTCAGCCCGGAGGGAAACACTCTGAAACCTCTCTCCTTTCCCCCAACCTCATCTCCAGCCCTGAGGTCATTCTAGGTTCCCTCCTCCCTAATCCTAGCCCCTAGCTCCCCCCCCCCCTCCCCGCCACCCAGTCCCTTCTTAAACCTTGTACCTGGTATTCCTTGATGACCCCATTTTGCTGGGAAGGGAGCGGAGGTTCCCAGGACACCGTGACACTGTTGTTGCCTTCACCCCCCAAGGCCACTGTCACTCCCTGGGGGGGACCACTGGGGGCTGGGCCCCCGAGAGGAGCATGGTGAGAAAGACAGTCATTGCCAGCTACCCCTCCTGCCCCAACCTTCCCCCTCCCAGGTATCATCTTGGGAACTGAGATAACAGGTATCCCTTCTTCCCATAACTCCCCTTGCTCTTCCCCTGCAAACTTCTATCTTCCCCCACTCCCTCTTTCCTGTTGTTCATTCATGGGCTCTGTGCACCACCTCCTTACCTTCCTCAGGAATGCTCCTGGTCACGAAGGGACTTTCAGCCCCCAGCCCCTCCTGGCCTTGGGCTTGCACCTTGATCTGAATTTGGGTCCCTGGCGGGAGTCCTCTTAGCACAGTACTTTGCTGGCTTGGGGACTGTAGGTCCAGTACTGTCCAGCTTCCCCCATCAGGACCTGCTACCCTCCAAGACACCCGGAAACCTTGCACCAGCTGGACTGGGCCATCTACCTGTAGGAGACAGGACAAAGCATACCAGAAGGAGAGCCAGGGACCACACAAGTCCTCCCGTCTCTGCCCCACCTCCAATCACCCGGTCTTCCCCAGCCACTCACCTCCCACTCTCCCGTACCCATTCCTGGAGGTCCCTATAGCCCCCATCATCATCCCTGCCCTTAACCGCATCCCTATGCCACACTCACAGTCCAGGACACCTGCAAGCTCCGGGGCCCAAGGACTATGGGCTCCTGCATGCGCACAGCCACTTCAGCCAGCCCCCGCTGGCCTCTCCAGGGGTCCTCCACTGGCCTGGATGGGTTGCTGTCTATTGACCAAAGAGCCCACTCAGCCGGGGCCACCAGGGACAAGGAGTCAGACTGAAAGTGTGCCTGTATCCTACCTTGTGCTGCTCCCACAGACTGCACTACTTAGTACTCCAGAACACACCCCAGGATCAGGAGGAGGCTGGTCAGGGGAAGAGCTTCCAGAGGTGGGCCTGGGTGTCCAGTTAATAGGAATCTACTCTCTGCACTTTAGAGACCTCAGTTCCTCATCTCTAACATGAAGATGAACCCTCCAAGGTCCCTTCTAGTCCTAATAAGCTACATTATCTGTGGGTAAAAGGCTCAGAAGTGAGGGGCTACCAAGATGACTGGATTTCCCTCTCTCCCCTCTTCTCTTGTCCCCTCCATGAGAGGGAGGCGTGACCTCTTCCAGACCGGGCTACCAGGAGAGGCTGGGCACAGCAGAAAAGAGCTGCTATGCTGCCCTAGTTTGGAGGGGGGCACTCTGCAGTGTTTCGTGTCATATCCCCGAGCTAGGGACTCTGACCTTACTCACCCTGGGTGCGCACAGGCTCAGAGACGGGGCTGGGCTCACTGAGTCCCCAGGCTCCCACAGCGCGCACCAGGAACAGATAGGTGGTGCCGGGCTGCAGACCACTGACCATGTGTGTCTCCAGCCGCACGCCATCTGCCACTGTCCGCCAGGTGTTACCAACTGTTTGACTGCAACGGGAATGGGGTGACAGAGTTGTCTGAGCCAGGCACCCCCCACTTGTCTACTCCCTCTCGTCCATTCTCCTCCCCTTGGGAGAGGGAACTGGCAGAACTCTCCGCACCATAGCAAAGACCCTGAGGACATAAGATCCCCTTCTTTTGACTTTCCAGGTTTGCATGTAAAACTTTCTCCATACCTGAAGGCCTCTATCACATAAGAGGTGACTGTGGCCCCCGCCTGCGGGTTGGGTTTCCAGGTCAGAGTAATGCTGTTCTTGGTGATCTCAGTGACCACTGGCTGAGAGGGAGGCCCTGGAGGGCTACTGGGTTCTGTAGGCGGCTCTGGTGATCCTCCCCAATCTTCTGCAGTGAGGAGATAATCTTTAAGTAGAAGAATGGGAAAAGGACGGCCTCCCATGTAACCTGCCCCCTTCCCAGAGACGCTAAGGAGCTGTGATAGGGGCGACAGTGGAGAGGGGGACGGAGTGAACTAACCCCTACTCACATCTGCCTCCCAAGGGCACCACTTCCGTCCTTCTCCTCCCCACCACCGTGGCCGTGACATTTGGAAGTTTAATCAGTGCTGGGGCTCGGGGAGGTACTGACTACTTTCGAAGCAGGTTTGGATGGAGGTGTTGGCAAAGCAAGGAGACAGAGGCAAAACTCACCCCGCGTCCTAAGCCAGCTACTCCATGTGGCCTCCCCTGTGGAACTCTTGGCCACACAGCTGTAGAAACCCATGTCCATCTCCTGTAGGAGAAGGTAGAGGGCTGGCAAACTGGGGATGGAGCAAGGTAGGGTGAGGGGGTGGAGGTGGGTGTTCAGAGGCTGGGGAAGGCGTGGTCCACTTTCGGTGGTCTCAGAGAGCAGAGGAGTAGAACTGGAGCTAGTCCCAGCGGGTACTTACGAGAGGTGGGCACGTGGACTGTGTGGCCGTTCTCAGTTACTCGAGTCCCAGGGGGGAGACTCACCTGCACACTGGCGATGTACAGGGTACCGTTGGCCATGAGGCTGAGCTGGAGGTCATCCCCCTGCAGCCACTGCCCATCCTTCTTCCATTGGACGCTAGGTTGAGGGTTCCCAGTCACTCTGCATGGCAGCCATACAGAGGAGCCAAGTGCCAGCGTCTGATTGGCTGGTCCCTGGAGGATGATGGGAGGCAGCCCATCCAAGGAGGAGGCTGAGAGAGGAAGAACTTGGGCACCTCAGGAGAGGATCCTGGGTTCAGGCCACCAGCCCCTTGTCTTCCTTCTCTGCTCCTTCACTTGTCCTCCCCCTGGAGACTGGAGGGGCTTCGATAACCATCTGTAGTCTCTGCCTGGGACCAGCCACCTATTCGTGGTTGCTGTGGCTGATTTCCAAACTTCAAGGCCATGTCTCAGGAACACGCCCCTCCCCTTGCAGACATATTATATAGAATCCAAGAAAAACAGGTATCTTTAAGCCATTACTTCCTTTCAGGCCATTAAGTCCAGGCCTATCTGCATGAGCACCTACCTCTTTTTACCTCCAACAGGGCCTTGGCCAGGATGCTGCCGGCCACACTAACAGCCTGACACACGTAGTAACCAGCATCCCCGCTCTGCACATCAGTTATGTTGAGCTGGCCTCTGGGAGAGACTGAGAAGCGCCCCTTGGGCTGAAATGGCTGACTGGGGAAAAGCAGAACCTGGGGACAGAGCAAAGAACCAGGGTAGGGAATGAGCAGGCAGCTGACAGAGAGAAAGATCCCTATTCCCATCAACCCCAGAATTCAGAGAATTCCTAAGGTTCTAACTCCAACTCTGTCCCCACCAGCTAGTTATATGACCTTGGGCCAACCAGTGAGATCTACTCACAAAAATGTGGAAATTTTATTAGATGATTTTGGGGTGAACTTCCCAGCTTTGTGACTTACAAGTTAGGAAACTCTGAGCAAGCTCTTTAACCTTCCTGAGCCCACATTTCCCCAAATTTGACTCTTCGGGGATAGTTACGAGGATTAAATGAGTAATCGTGAGAATCTTTTAACACATTATGTGATAAAGGTTAAATATCTTCCCCTTTTTTCTGGCTCTATGTTACGTAGATACACGGAAGGTAGGGAAAGAGGTTAGGGTCACAGGTAAATGGCACATGGTTGATCCCCTGATGGATACCTACTACCCTCTACTACCCTCTACTACCATCAGCATTTCTATTCATTTAAGAATCTAGTTAAAATACAGCAATCCCAGATGCTAGAGAAGATGTTGGAAAATTGTGGCTGTGGATTTGGAAATGAGGTAGTGGGAGAACTGGTTTTCCACTGGGGTGGGATTAGTCAGACTTATTTTATTATACTGCCCCTGTTTCCTAGTAGCAAAATTCCCACCCTTCCCCTAGTGGTTGGTACTCATGTTGTGTAACTTCAGTGAATGTTCCTTCTGGTTCTCAATTGAGCAATCAGTTTGCCAAGGTGGGTGACTGTGAGCGCCCCCTGGTGGAAGCCCCTTGTAAGTAGATGAGCGAGTCGTGCTGTACCCTGAGCAGCTTAGGAACAGTACACTTTCCAGAGAGCAGCTTATTAAAGCCCAGGCCCCAGGTGTCTGGGAGAGGAGGCACCGACTAGATTTGCCACATCTTCAGGACAGCCTTGCCTAAAATAGAAGGATTCTGGGCGCCTGGGTGGCTCAGTTGGTTAAGCGACTGCCTTCGGCTCAGGTCATTATCCCAGGGTTCTGGGATCTAGTCCCACATCGGGCTCCCTGTTCCGCGGGAAGCCTGCTTCTCCCTCTCCCACTCCCCCTGCTTGTGTTCCCTCTCTCGCTGTGTCTCTCTCCATCAAATAAATAAATAAAATCTTTAAAAAAATTATCAAAAATCTGGAAGCGATCCTTCCAGTTTTTTTAAAAAATAATAAAATAAAATAAAATAGAAGGATTCCCCAGGGAATTACCATACAGGACTGTTTCTTCCCACCTAAGCATTATTAACATCATTTCTTTTTGAAGTGTTCAATACGTTCCAGGCCTTTTATATTCATTATCTTATTTAAGCCTCCCAAATAACCTGCAAGGGTTTCTGGGAGGACCAAAGGTAAAACGGGACCACAGAGCGAAGTCTGCAGAATGTACAAGGAGGGAGGCTAAGACCCAGAGGAGAAGCTTGTGGGAAGTCCCACAGAGCTGGCCACCTACTTGACTTCCCTCCTTTTGCCAGAAGATGGCAGGTGGGGGGTTTCCTTTGGTCTCACATTGGAAAGCCACACTCTCTCCAGGAGCTGCCATCTGGTCCTGGGGCTGGGTCACCAGCTGGGGTGGGACTGGGAAGGGGGAGGGGATAAAGGAACAGGGAGTCAGGGCACTCAGAAGGGAGACTGAGGGAACAGGAGAGAGAGAAGCCCAAGCCTGGCTTAAGTAGGAGCAGATAGCCAACTCTTGTTTCAAGCCTGCTCAGCTTTCTCCTCCTTTCTCTCCTTCTAAAAACTCTCAAGTGGCCTACCCATATCTCCCACCCAGTCCTTTCTCCCTCGTTCTCCTCTTCACCCCGTCCTCCACGTTCCCTCATCTCGTCCCTGCTTCTGGCAGTCCCAGGTGGGCCCTCACCGTGAACACTGAGGGAGCCAGAAGCTTCAGCGCGGCCCACGCTGTTCTCAGCCACACAGGTGTAGGTCCCCTCGTCGTCGGCACTCACACGCCCAATCCAAAGGCTGTGGTCACTCCGGATCTCATACCTGCTCCACTCCCCACCCCCAGGCTGGGTTGGCCACAGCTACTGACCCCTTCTCTCTCCCCCAAGACAGACACCAGAATCAGGTACATAAAGACAAGGTAGGCCCCAACAGGGACCGAAGCTGGAATCCACGGACCCATAAAATGAGATGGGACTAGATAGGGCAGGGGCCACAGGCTCTGGGAGACAGATTTCTCTGTGTCGTCAAGTGAGATGGTGTCTGCCTTCCAGTTTTCTAGGGCAGGGTATGCTCTTGAGCTGGTTGAGTCTCCTTACAGGCAGGAGGAGGGGGATTCTCACCTGCCTGTGGGCAGTTCCCCATCCTCCTTGCGCCAGCGTAGACGGGGTGGGGGATCCCCTTGCACCTCACATGCGAAATCCACAGGGGCATCTGCCAGGACCACCTGATTCACTGGTCTACGCAGGAATGAGGGTCGCTCTATGGAGCCAGAGTGAGTGAATCGTCAGGGGATCTACAAAGCTTCTTACTACCCAGGCTGCACACCCCCGTAACCCCCAAACTCCCTGTGCCTACCCAGTACCACAAGTTCAGCTGCCCCACTCTCCCGTTCTCCTGCCATGTTGGAGGCCACACACACATACATCCCTGCATCACTCTTGAGTGTATGTGACATCATCAGCTTCCCTCCACGAATCTGCAGAGTAATAATGGTAACTTTGGTCTTTTGTAGCCATCAAAGCATATTTATTTATTTATTTGATCCTCCCAGTAAGCCAATGAAGACCAGTGAAGAAAGTTGACACACTTATCAGATAAGGAATCCTTAAATGATCTGCCCAAGGGAGTGGGGGGGTGGGGGGCTCAGCTCTGTGCTTGCTCCCACAGCCCAACCTACCTCCCATGAATTCCTGGGGCATCTTACTCCCCACCTATTTTATTCCAATTCCATCCTATCCATCCTTAACTTATCCCTCACTTAATAGCTGACTCTCCATGCTCAGCCCCCTACCTTATGGCCCCGCCAACCATGATGGCCTTGTCCTGCCCACCCCCCCCCGCCCCCCCGCGTCAGATCCCCAGCCATGGCACCACGCCTCACCGTAATCCTTCCCTCCTCCTCCTTGAGTTTTGCACTGTCCTTCTTCCAGGACACGGAAGGCTCTGGGTGGCCACGGGGGGGCACGCATTCCATTACCGCTGGCTCCCCCACTGCCACCACCACGTTTCCAGGGGACTGCCGAAAATCATCACGGAGGACTGGAGAGAGAGATAGACAGGGACAGAGACAAAGAGAGAAGGAGAATGAGTGACCAGGGGACCCGATGAATAACTGGGTTAGGACACAAGGGAAGTGTTTTGGAGAGGGGTGTATCACCACAGACCTGCACTCCTCCCCAGGTGCAAAGATACCAGGCCCACTTCCTCCTCTGGCCAGGGCGTGGACGTTAGACACCAAAGGTCACGGTCCCAAAAGAAGATGCTGAAGGGGCTGAGACTGGGGCTGGTTCTGGATCGGCTTACCTGGTGCCCTCCCGCCTCTGGTTGGAAGCAACCAGAGGACAATGCGACTCTCACCTGCCACTTCCAGCGACGCATTTCTACTAGCCGCTGCCCCCAGGTAGTTGCGCGCCACGCAAGTGTAGACACCCTCGTCGGGACGCGCGCGGCGCCCGTGCACGATGCGCGGGAAGAAGAGGGCGCCGCTGGGCAGCAGCAGGCGGTGCGCGCGCGGATCCTCGCGCGCAGTGGCCACTCGCGCCCCATTCTTGTACCACTCGATGTTAGGCCGCGGCCGGCCCTCGGCGCGGCAGGGCAGCGTGGCCGGCTCGCCTCGGGAGACCAGCAGATCTGGCGGCTGCTCCACGATGCGCGGCATCGCGTCCTCCGGCTCCACCCTGGATGCTGAGGGCAGGGGCGTTGGCACAGAGCATTTCCACCGGGAAATTAGGGGACAGGATCCAGAGAGAAAAACAACGCTGTCTGCCCACGCTGTCCCCCTTCCCCCTGTAGGGGTCCTCTGGGCAGACACCCCCACGTTCGTCGGCTGGAAAGGATATGCCTACAGATGGGCATATCAGTAGAGGAATCAGGACACAAACTCCTAGGCCGGCTTTCTAGGCTGCCTAAAGACACCAGCCTTCTCTCTGGCCAAGGTTAAGTGGAGAGTGACTGGGCCTTGTCTGGGCAAGTAGACCACCCCTCTAGTCCACGGGTATTCAATGTCCCACACCGGCTGGTTTGCAGATTGTCCTTGCTCCCTGAAGGGGTGCACCAGAGCCAACACGTGGTCCTTGGCCTCTGCATGGTGGTGGGCCCGAAAAATGGAGAACGTGGGCCAGCCTAGAGTGTCTTAGAACAGGTAAAACGAGAGTGATCTGACTGGAGTCTGGGACTAGGAGAGGTTCTTAACCTGGAGTCCATGAATGGACATAGAGCCCTTCATTGTCTTTTTTATTTTTTATTTTTATTAAGTAAACTCTGTGTTCAACTGTGGACTCGAACTCATGACCCAGAGATCAAGAGTTGCATGCTCTGCCAACTGAGCCAACTAGGTGCCCCTCTTACTGACTCCCCAGGCAATCATGCTTGGAGGAACCTGTGAAGTCATGGGAATTGAATGAAAATGGTAGTGAAATGTGAATAACATTCCTTTTCTAAGAGGTGCAGAGTTTTCAACAGATTCTTCTCCAGGTTGATGTAGCGGAGAAAGGCTAAGAATGCTAACTAGGAAGGGGATTCCTCTCCTTCCTTTGTTTCATCCGGTTCACCTGCATTTTCTGTTCCTGCCTCTCACTTGGCCTACAGACTCCTGCTGGCTTCATCTTCTGCAGTTGCTTTGGGATCCAGGATCCTGAAGCCCATTAGGCCAGACACTCCCAACTTTGTCAAAAGTGGATTTGTAACCTGGTGGCGGCCAGTAGGCACCGCTGCTGCCTCATCTAATTTGGTGTCCTCAACTAACCAGGACTACCCTTCCCCCGCCAGCGCCCCCTCCCACTCAGTTCCAAAATCCACGGGGACTTTTAGCTCCCAGCCTCGGTGTGGGATTGGGCTTCATGTCCCCACCCCTACTCTTAGAAGTTCCTATGGAGACAAAGCTGGAAAGGGTCGCCCCATGCTGACATTGTCCTGGGGAGAGTTTATTTAACTGGCTAGGACAAGATCAGTTTCCCTCCCACTTAGGGAAGGGAGTAATTTTCTCGATTTCCTTCCTTCCAAATGGAAATCTCTGCTTCTCAGCCGTCTCTTCTCTGGCATCCCATCCCAGTCCCAGTTTAGGCAGAGCCCCATGCCATGGTAGAGCAACTAAGAGCTCAGGGATTGTCCTGGAACCAAGTAGGGCTGGGATCTCAGATTTGACACTTCCTAGCTCTACGAACTTGGGCAAATTATGGAGCTTCTCTGAGTCTCAGTTGTTTGAAATATGGGAGCAGTGATAAGGCTGTCATAAGACCATTATATATGTAAAGCACTTGGGGGAAGGCTCAATAAATATGGTAATTCTCTGATTACTTAGGGGCTCTTCCTCCCTAGCCCACTGGACCTTATCAGATTCTATCAGGCCCCAATATTCCTTTCTGCCCCATCGCATAACCTTAGGGTGTAATGGAAATAGGTTTGTTATCACTAAGCTTTGTGTTGCTTTTGTGACCACTGGAGTACTTTTCAGCTTCTCTGAATTTGTTTCCTTAGTTGCAAAATGTGGCCATCAGTAACTTCCCTACAGACCTCCTTACATCTTCAAGTGTAGACGAGACACCGTATGGTGACAACACTGTTAGAACGCTGCGGAGTACAGGGGTGTGTCTGCGCCCTCTGTGAGAAGGGTTCTTCTATCCTGAACCTCCTGGGAAACTGAAGGGGGGCCAGGAATTTGGACAATTCCAGCTCATTTCCCACCTTCTTCGTCCCTGCTCCCTCGTACATACCACACCCTTCTGGGCGGCCCTTTCCCCCTAATTCCTGTAGACACAGCTGCCGGCGCCCTTTCCCTGGAATTTCTTCCCTGTCATTCCCGGTCTCAGGAGATGCTCCCGACAGCAGCTAATGAATAGCTAATGATCATGCTAATGAAGCTCTGGGGCTCCTCCCTCAGCACCTGGAGTACCCCCCACACAAACACATGCACACTGCCCAGGTCTGCTTTTTCGTCATCTTCGAGTCTCTAGGACCGTGCTGCCCCTAGATTCGAGTGGGTGGATGTCAAGGGATGGGGACTGTGGAGGAACCAGAGGGGAAATCCGGAAAGCGGACTTCCCGACGGGGCCGGCAGGGGGCGCGATCGGGCCTCTCCCCAGACTCCGCTCTGGCCGCCTCCCCGCAGCGCTAGGGGAGAGCGCGCTGTCTCCGTGATTTATTAATCACCGTAATTAGCGGTAACGACCTCGCCGCCCGCGCAGCCCGCCCGCCGCAGTCCTGCCGGGTGGGCCGGCTGTGAGTTCCACCTTGAGGGGCAAACTTCTAAGTTCCCTAAACCGCTCTCCGCTTCTGTCGCCCTCTGTAGCAAACACTTTTTTAGCTTCAACATTTTAGCTTCCTCACCCAAGTCCTAAGTGAGTTCTTGGAAAACTTAGGGTCCCGAAGAAAAACCTGCTAGCTGGGTGGGTCACCAGGTGGCGCGGCTTGGCCCAGGCCCGCCGGCGACGGCGTGCCCTCTTCTGCCCTCCCTGCCGTGGGTCCCGGCCTCTCTTAGCTCGGTACTTGCCCATCACCAGCCACGGTTCTCCTCACTTGGGGTGGCCGCTGGGGTCGGGTGGGCAGATGGAGAGCAACGGACTTAACAGTCATCTCCTCCCAAGCCCTGGATCTTCCGCCGATACCCCGACTCAGGTGCTCCAAGCCCCAAATTACCCCTCGGTTCCCACCCACCCCTCCCGCCAGGCGCTTGGGAGGCTCCGCTTAGTCCCAGATCTTGAGGCAGGAGCGCGTTGGCCTCCCCCTCCACGCCGCCCTCCCACCTTACCCCATCCCTTGATCCGACGTCCTCACTGGGCAGGGTCTTACCGTTGAAAGAAGGATCGCCGGGGGGCAGCAGGCTGTGGTTGAGCGCCGCCTCCGAGGAGTTGAAGCCGAAGAGCAGGTCGCTGGAGTTGGAGATGTCCCCCGCCAGGGAGTCCGCGAACAAGTTCATCTGCAGCAGTGTTTTGAGCAGGTAGCGCAGCATGGCGCGACCCAGTTGGGACCGGGGCGGGGGGCTCGGGGCCCAGCCCCTGGGTCTGAGACCCGCGGGCCGGGAGCCGTAAGCCCCTCCGCAGCCTCTGCCCGCTGCCCCAGCCACGGTGCCGCTCTCCTGCCGGCGCGCCTGGGTACGGTGCGTGCCTCCGCGTGCCCTCCTCCTTCCCTCGTCCTTCTCTCCACCCCCCAGTGCCGGGGTCCCCCGGGAGCTGGGCGGGAGGAAAGCAGGTGCCACGCCGATCACGGCGTAATTAAGGGATTAATCCGCCTCCCTCCACCCCCCCCCCATCCCCACCCCGATGGCCACTAGCAGGGCCAGAGACTAGAGTCGCGTAGCGCGCGAGTTGGAGTCCCCGCCCCGCGCCCCGCGTCCCGGGTCGGGATACTGGACGCCGCAGGAGAGTTCCCCTCCTTTCTCAAAGCAGCCAGGATGAGGGAGGAGGCTCTGTCGGACTCTGCCCTTTTGACTGCCTTTAAAGCAGGAATCCCATCTCTCTTTTACCCGCCCTTAGGCTAAGACCAAGAACGCTCCTCTAGCTCTCAAAGCCGTGGTTTCCATTTCCTCCCAAGTCCCGGCGCTTAGCTGCGAAGTGCTGGAGGCTGGGGTGGTGTGGAGTGGGTGGGGAATAATTGCACGGCGGGTCCACCCCTTTACCCGCAGTCGCTCATTTTGCAGCCGAGAGACCATGGGACAAGGTGCTGCGTCTTGACCCAGAGTCCTGCTCCAGACCCTCTAATCTAGTAGTAACGGCAGGAGATTCAGCACGGATAAAACTGGAGGGGACAGGCCCTGGGAAACAGGCATTTAGCATCCATATGCATACCTCTGGCATCTATTTGCATACTTCTGCAGTACCGTGCTCTGACATGATTTATTAAATTGTTACCTTCTTGAGGAGCCTGCAGGCAGATAGTCCAGGAAAAGACAAAGAGAGCAATATTGTTTCTGTAAAGGCAAGCGCAAGAGAAGAGAAGGGCTTGATGCAAAACTCGTGCAAATCCGTTCAAACCCCATAAAGGTTTTCCTTCCAAAGGGGAGCAGTGGGGAGAAACCATGACCCCCTCTTCTCCATCCAGCCTGTTTCTGAGTTTTCTGCAGTTCTTTTTACCTGAAGATCTCCTAGTCCCCTGCCATCCACCTACCCGTCCACTCGCGCGTGTGCACACACACTCACTCGCTCACTTTCCTGGAAATAGCGTTGAGGTGTCAAGGGGAGAGAGGGACCTGGGCCTACCTATCTGGGGTGAGGCCGTGTTGATGGCTGAGTGGTGGGGTTCTAGCCCAGTCATCAGGCTCTGTATGATGAGATCACCTTCGTGGGGTGGCTGCCTCTGACCCGGGAGGGGCTAGGTGAATAGGTCGAGATCCAGAAAGGTGGATGCTACAGGGTCATAGAGCCCACAGTAAGCACATTCAGGAGTTGAAGTGTCAGGCAGACACTTTGTCAAAGGGTGGGAGGCTTGTCCCAGAACTCCACCCTCAATCCACACGCCATCCCCTTGATCTAAAAACTAACATGTTTAGACGAACCATGAGAGACGATGGACTCTGAAAAACAAACTGAGGGTTCTAGAGGGGAGGGGGGTGGGAGGATGGGTTAGCCTGGTGATAGGTATTGAGGAGGGCACATTCTGCATGGAGCACTGGGTGTTATGCACAAACAATGAATCATGGAACACTACATCTAAAACTAATGATGCAATATATGGGGATAATATAAGAATAAAAAAATTAAAAAAAAAAAACTAACGTGTTTAGGTGTCTCCCTACTCGCCCTCCACACCCACCCTCTCGCATCAGCTCTGCGCTGGACTGACTTCGCAAAGCCGGAAGCAAAAGTGTTAGGGGCTTGGGGTGCAGAGACCGCCGGAGGAAGGCAGCGCCCTGGGAGCTGTTCTTTCAGCACCTCGTCTGCCCCTGCTGAACTTGGGGTCAGGCGCCCCACAGACAGCTTAAATCCGAGCCGACCTTGAGGCTGAGATGAGTCGGGGTTAACAGACGAGAGAGGGGCTAGCGACACATTCTCTCTAATGCACCAGCATACTAAAAGATGGGATTTCACACTGTCCCTTGTTCCAGGGCCAGGCAGCACTCAGGTAAGAGACCGTTAAGGACGGGATAGGTTTCCCTCACCAGAAATCAATCCGTTCAGGAATGACCCATCCAGAAGTGCATTCCAATCCCATATTTGCCAGTTGGAAGACATCACCGTTCTGGACTTCAATTTCCTCATCTGATACGGAGAAATTATACTACTTTCTCTGCTCTGATGCTTCAGATTTCTGGTTCTGGGGCCCTGTGCTCTGCCTCCTGCTGACTGGGGTCACCCAGCTTCCATCACACCAGAGGCTAAGCCAGGACAGAAATCCGGGGTCCTGGCACCTGGCCCTGCTGTGGGGCGCGGAGGGCTGCGGCAGACAGGAAACTGCGTCCCACCATGTAGCTCCTGCCCCATTCTAATCCCACGATTTGCTCCCGGTTGGCCTCTCAGCAAACACAGGGCCTGCCAGCGTCTAGGGGCTTGTCACCCTGTTAGCGGATTTGTTCCCGGAGATGGCTCAGTTAATTGGCCCTTTATTCGGGGATCAGGGCATATTTGCTCAGGGTTCCCTGAGCGGAGGCTGCAATTCAGCTCATGGGCAAGGCTGCTTCCTAATCCTTGTCATCCTGGTTTGGAGGCTGGACAAATAGTGGGACCACTCTCCTTTCTGGGACTCTCCTGGCCTGAATCTCCTGTTCCTCCTCTACACCTCGCCTCTTCTTGGGATGTTCTTTTTCCTATTCCCACCTTTCTTCTTGTTTCTCTCTGTGCTTTCCTTCTTGGTACTTCTCTGTATCTCTAGAATACTCTCCCTTTAAACAAACTCAGACCTAATGCCAAAAGAGGGTGAGTACTCAACTGGGGATACTGGAGAATAAACACCTCTCAAGTTCCCTTCCCCTGCCCTGGTGTTCCTAGAGCCCTGGGTCTAGGAGACGGTGAGACAGAGAGAAGACGGAGAAGGCCCACCAGGGGTCACACCTTCCAGTTCTTTCCTCAGCCCTCTCTTTCCCTTCCTTTATCTTAAAGTCAGATGGGCAGTCTGGAAACTGGCCCTGCACCTTGTCAAGTCCAGCTTCTCTCTGGGCTGTTCCCAGGCCATTCTAGAAGGAGTTTTCTTCCTATTTGTCTCCTCACTAGCCACGCCTCCCCTCCCACAGAATACCAACACAACTCCGGCTTCTCCCTCTTGCATAGACAGAGTAAGTAACTCCCTGCATCTACCTCCATTTCCTTACCTGTAGACTGTAGGTGCTCCTGTAGCACCTAAAACACTCTGAATGTGTGCAGTGAAATTGGGGAGCCCTTGTGTGGGGGTCCATTCAATTGATTTATAAGTTTCCACCTTGGACTGAAGAAAGAATCAGAGTTCAGGGCCTCTCTCTTCTACTGCCTCAGGAGACTACTTCTTTTCCAGAGTCTTATCAATAATACAGTCTGCACTTTAAAAAGGGTAAGGAAGAGAAAAGGGGGTTTGGAAGTTGGCAGAAAGAAGAGAGAGTAGCCCCAGGCAAGGAGGATGGGGAAAGTTTGTTCTGCTAGGGTTATGGCATCTAGGGGAAAGAAGTGTGTGTGTGTGTGTGTGTGTGTGTGTGTGTTGAGGGACAGAATAGTTACCCCAGGCCAACTTCCTTGGCCTAGTGCCAGCACATAGGCCAGAGAATGTAGCAGGGAATTTTCAGGGACCAAGCTGGGGACTGTATGGGAGGCTTCTTGGTGGTCCCAAGCCTGCAAGCCAGCTGGTGGTGGATGAAGCTGCTGACATGTAATTGCCCAGGAGGGCAGTCTGAGGACAACCCCCCATCTCACACTGATTACTGCCACTGTCTGTCTTCCCAGTGCATGCACACGCACACACCCCCGCCCCCCACCACACACACACCGCCCAACCCATTTACATCCCCCTAGAGCCTGGAGCTTCCCATTACTCTCTCTGCCTGGACCCCTTCCCAGGGCACTGGTACACATTGAGCATATGTGTGTGTTTTGGGGGTGGAGGGGCAAGGAACTAACATCTGTCCCCTACCCCCACTAGGCTATGCCTGTGAATGACCCAGCAGGGTTGCTGGCTTCAGAGTGATGATGCCAGGGGGCAGTGACCCAGCCAGCAGGGGCCAGAGGGCCAAACGGGAGGGGAGATCAGAGAGCAAAGAGCAGACACCCGGCTGGAAAGCAGACAGCAGGAGCCTGCCCCCCGCAGGAGCCAGGGATTGTTGGCTCAACCCCTGTAGCTGCTGAGATAATAAGCCAGGGCCCCCTGCCCAAGAGTACCCCTTGCCCCACAGGGTTCCAGTGGAGGAGCCTGCTTTGCAAAGGACACTTTGCAACACACTCCATCAAGTCTTGAAATCTGGAGGCAACTGGGCAGAAATATCCAGACCCCAGTACAGATGGAATGAGGGCTAGAGGAGAAAGAGCTTTCCTGGGTCCTTTTATAAAACTTGGTACAGAGCAAGCACTCCATAAAGACTGGTTTTGTGAATACATCTGATGAACTAGTTAGTCCTCACAACTGCCCCCTCAGAGCTCACCAGCTTCTCTGCCTCCCCCCTTCCCTCCTTATATTCATTTCCCAGGGCCACTGTTACAAAGTACGACAAACTAGTTGGCCTCACAGAGCAGAAATTTATTCTCTCCCAGTGCTGGAGGCTAGAAGTCTGAAGCCAATGTGTCAGCAGGGCTATGTGCTGTTGTAAGGCTTTAGGGGAAATCCTTCCTTGCCTCTTCCAGACTCTGGTGGGTGCTGGCAGTCCTTGGCATTGCTTGGCTTACCCATCCATCACTCCAATCCCTGCCTCCGTCCTCACATGCGTTCTTCCCTGTATGCCTGTATGTGCGTGTGCGTCTTATATATATATAAGGACAGCAGTCACTGGGTTAAGGTCTACACCAATACAGTGTGATCTCTTCTTAAACTAATTCTCTCTCCAAAGATCCTATTTCCAAATAAGGTCACATTCTGAAGTTCCCGGGGGATACGAATTTGGGGAGATACAATTCAACCCAATATGCTTTCTTTTCCTGTTGTTCTTCCCTGCTTCCCCCTCTATTATTCCTGGTGCTCTCCTAGGCGCCCCATTTTGCTGGTTTT